ATGACTTGACCAGGGAGCGATATAGACTGCTGCACAAGAAGGGTGAGGAGATTTATAGATTGGTTAGAGTCTGCCCGTTCAAGTAGTACTAAGGATCATATACAATACACGGAAAAAGATCACTACATATTTGCTTTAAAATTTGATATTATTTGCATTTATTTTCACCAACTCATTTAGAAGTTTTGTAATAAATTTATTTTTTCGGGGAGTCAAGTTGTTTTCTCATTTCTAATTGGGGTTGTAATAACCTAGATAATGAACACTATACATAAGAACACTCCGAAAAGTATACATAAGAACATTAATCATCTTTAAAAAGACTAAATTATACCTAAACTATAGCCTTGTTCTTGCTTTGCTGGTTAAACTATTAGGGTTAAAGCTACTTACATCTGACCTTTTCTGCACATTCTTTTACATTGCTCGTGCATTGGATCATTTTTATTTATTTATTGTTAATTCAAACTTTTAATCTAACTACTAATCTTTTTGGTCTAACCATAGTTAAAAGAGCAATACTTTTGAAATCTAATTCGAAACCCTAATTTATGTGTCTATCTTTGAATGCAATTTATTTGTTCATCCAATGATAGAAATTCATTAGATCCCAAAATTAAGTATATATATTATTGTTATTAATATTTGTCCAAACGATAAATTTTTGACTCTGTCCTTGATTATTTGCATTCATGGTCTAGGAGGATCCTAGGCTTTGGATTTCAGCATCAATAAAATAGAACAATTTGATGCGAGTGTGCCAAAGCAAAATTTTGTCATTGTAGAGCAAATGGATGCTGTCTTCGCCTATCCAAAAGCTATTTTTACTACTAGAAACCCGTAATCCCATACTGCATGGTGGGTCTCCAGAGATGTGAAAGGTCACTTACCACATTCGAAAGTCTAAGGTTGGCACCAGTACCCTTGGATTCGGTATATTCCTCCAATATCCTCACAAGTGTTGGTGCAGAACTTTTGCGATGAAAAAATGATTGTAATATGCTTCAACACACGTTACTGAGTTGTTTTCCTTGAGATAATATTTGCCTCCACCAATTCCGGAAAATTGTTGTGTACCAAGTTCTAACGAATTTAACTCCAAAATACAATGAAATCCACAATTAAATCTGATGTCTGATTGCGTAATGCACAAATGAGGTCAATCCCAAATATGTTCAAATTTTTCTAGTTTGCCTGGACACTAAAACTCTGTCGCTGCAGCAAAACAAATTCCAGCTATAAGAAACGCAAATAATAATAAATAGAAAGAGTTCAAGCCTTAAGGAAAGTGAAATTGTTGGCAATTGAAGTAAGTTGGTCTCTGTTCAAATAGTCTCTGAATAGGTATGGTGGGGATTCAGATCCCCTCCATTATCCTTTCCCTTCAATTTCCCTCAATACAGTACTAGATGAGTGACACTTGTAAAATTTTAAATTTCAATGGATAAGATTTTTTTCTTGTGAGAAAATTCCTTAATAATGGTTAACACTCCATCAACAACAAAAATAAATGAGGAAATATCTTATCCATTGAAATTTAAAATCTTACACGTGTTACTCATCTAGCACTGTATTGAGGAAAATGGAAGGGAAGGAGTAATGGAGGAGATCTAAATCCGGTATGATGGTTGTGCAAGAGTAAGACAGGTCCGATAATTAACAAATATTTAATTATAACTGCCGCCAATAGACGCATTTTAACACATTTTTGGGTTTAAATATAACTATCCAATGACACCTCTTAGCGATCTACAGTCCAAATCTAGCCATCATGGTATGTAAGTTGATCATGAACCACAATTAGATGATCAGACATGGGATCCACCATTCGATCTTATGCATATGTGAATCAACTGTCTTATCGAAAATAATAAAAAAATAATGGTCATGATATGATTGCTCCTCGCTATGATGTTTATGTACTGTTTACACCCAAAAAATAGTAAAATCTGAGAGTTACACGTAAAAGCAATCCGACGGTCGTAAAAGAATTTGTGAGAGTCCATACTTAATAGGGTGGGTAAGGAAGTGAGATTCTAAAAATTCCGAGAAGCGAGGAAACCTGACATCATGAGCCGCTAGTTGAAAATGGTTCGGCATACATTTGCACATCATGGGGATAGAGGTCATGATCATAGTCATGTTCGAAAAAGATGGCTTTGACGGTTGAAGGTCATTCGTATAAAAAACGAAGACAAGGCTACGAGAAAAAAGATCTTTGATCAAACACAACAATTCTACACACAACTAGCCTCTCTCCTACTTATTTTTACTCCTCAGCAACTTTATTTTACTGCAATCTGTAGTTCATCACTTCGATGATTTTTAATGTCTTTCATTTAATGTTAGGTACAATTCTTCTTTCATCTTTCAAATTACGTTTATTTGTTAATTTACATTCTCGTTATCTTTCCACATTCCAGTCCATCACATTGCTAGTCGAGAAATTATTTAAATCCTTGATCCCTAAGGCATATAAAAAAGCTCAGAGGTAATTTTATGCCTCGCTACAATTATATGAATAGTCACAATAATAGAACCTCACACAAGTTTCGAATAGGTAAGGTCATATGTGTTTGGATGTTAAGTCCACCTGGATTTTGACACGCCGACAATCCAAAAAATTCCAAACTTAATTTTTGGAATGTCTAGTGGGACCCCAAGCAACTACATGGCAATAACTAGTGAAAAAACCAAAATTGGCTAAAAAAAATGCCTCTAGCGCACCAGGTTGTTGAAGATTTGCCTCCACTTGGGGGGCTAGAAAATGGAGAATTCGACTTAGAGCTAGAGGCCTGGATAAAGGTTTTGTCGTAGAAAGTCTCCCAACAAGTTTCTGGGTCCATCAGTGGCTTAGGAGACTTGATTAGAGAGGAATCTGGCCACACCAAGTAGGCCCTAGAGCGAATGTTCAACAGTTTGAATCGACCAGGGGGTGCAAGACAACCACATTTTTCCCCTGTCCAAGTAGTACCAGCGGAGGCACCAGAACTAGTGCTTCCTCCATACGTGTTGCCCCTGAGGGCATAGTGACTTGATCCGAAATGTGTACACCCATGTGCAGACGGTCAAGTTGTAATTATAATCTGGTAAAGTCAGGAATTGAATCCATAGGGAACTAACATTAGAGTTTAAAGTTAAGATCAATAGAGATGAAGGTAAATGAACATCATGAATTTAGAAGTTGAGGCAGTGATGAAATATTCTAAACAAAATATATGATTTTTTAAATGGAAATAAAAGACACTCTTTAGTTCGAGAATCTGAACATGTGTGGATATGTTCGGGTGATATATTTGTGCATAATAAAGATTGTAAGATTGTCATGAAGACCTAACTTGGGTACTTGCAGGGAATTGTCAGAATCACCTATGCCAAGACTTAGCTTGTCTATAGGTGATCAACACAAAACACTTTATTTTTACTAGATTCATTCAATCACTCATCATATAAAGAAAAACATAAGACAATAAGCATAAATGAAGTGCACAAATATAACTTATGAATAATACTTTACATGTCCTTCACCTCTTACTAAAGAGTGGATGAAAAACTACTCTCATGACTTTGAGGAAACTAGAAAAATGAGTGAACCTCATCTCTCAAAGTAGAGGAGCTTTAGAATTACAAAGGTAAAATTACAATAAACAAAATGCTTATCTCCAATAAAGAATGAGTGAAACACTACCCACCCTTCAAACCCATAAGGGAGTTAGAAAGGTGAGAGAGGTTCGCTCCTCTAGGTGAAGGAGAAAGCTACACAATGAAAGCTCATGAAAGTAATACTAAAAGAGTAAAAGAAAAGTAGTTAATTTGGAGGGGTATTTATTCTTCCAAAGTTGGTATTTTGCTTCAAGATGGTGGGGGTATTTATAGGGGTAGAGAACACCAAAAATCCAAATTTGAAGAGTCACATTATGGATGGGGCATTCAAACCTTGGCTTGGGCGTTCGAACGCTGCAGCTTGCGTTTAATGCATGAGGAAAGAAAGAAAAAGAAAAAAAAATGCTTGAGGATTCTTGTCTAAATGTCGTTGACTTTTGAAAAGGTGTTTGAACGGTAGGGGTAGACGTTCGAACACTACACACCTAACATTGTTCTTTGTCTGATTTTTTCAGGATTTGTTTTTGAATTTTGATGAGGTGTTTAAACCCCTTCTCTGGTGTTCAAATGCTACCTCCTTCCAGAAGGCTTTCCTTTGGCCATTTCCTCTTTAGGGCTTCATCTTTCATGGCTTGATAAAGGATTATTTTGCCCTGCATTTCATGTTAATACTCCAATCTTCCCTTTTACTTAATTATTATTTATTCACAATATAATGAAAACTTCACAGGATTAAACCTTTACAAAACATATTCAAATGTAAGGATTAAGGGTTAGTAAATGGATTTCACATTATTAACCGAAAGCTCAACAGCTCAACATTGTAACTTTATTCATCTTCACTATGCACTTCAAGTTTTCAAGAAAGAATATTATCCAACTAGATAAAGAGGCATTGACATGTTCAATATGTTGAGTTTCAAACAATAAGATAAAAATGATAGTCAAGTTTAGAGCAAATTCCTATGAACTTATCTGGAGATAAATTCAAAATAAGATAACTATCAAAGTAATCACATGTTTAACCAAGATTTCAAAATTATCCCAATTATGCATAAGAGTTCTGTGTACAAACATTAAGCAAACAAACCCTTAATTATTTAAACTTTATAATGAATCCAACACAAGTTCAAAGAAAACCAACATAAATCCAACCACAAAAAACATAAAGCACAAACCATAAGGTAGGACTCACTAATTTTATGCAAAATCCCAAGGGAACCATTAATGAAACTCGTTAGTTCAACAGTTAAAAACTAACTATACTAAGCAAATACCAATAAAGAGTTCAACTAAAACCCAACAATTAATATAAGACAAAAAGTCAGAGTGCCAAAACAGTTATCATAACCACAAAAGTGGTAGCACGATGCAAAAATTTCCCCATGAAGAAATAGTCACCATGTTGAAGATGAAGGTCCAACACCATGTCCTCGCCTCAAAAGATATTGGATCTCCAATTGATTATCCTTGATGTGACCCATCCTTGTCCTAAACTCATTCATTTGTGCTTGGAGTCCCAGTAATATCTCCCTATCAGACCTTGACCCAATTGGTGAGTGCTCCCCTCTAGTTTGTTCTTCAATTTGTGCATCATCCTCAGCTTGCATAATTGTATCCTCCTCACCAAACACATCCACTGGTGAATTTCTTTCCCAATCAGACCCTCCTCCATCTTGTCCTGCAACATGCCCTATACTCCTATGAAGTGTAGCATTATCTAATTGGGCCAGTGCCTCCATAACCTTCCAACTAGGATCAATCACAGCACCCTTCAACTCTACACAACTCGGTGACAAGAATCCCAAAAGGCTTGGTGGGCCTCTTGTTCTTTACGACAAGCATCATTTGATCAACAATAAGATTGGGAAATTCAATCGTATGCCCCTCACCAAAAGCATGTAAAAGCACATCACGTTCCTTATATATTTGAACAATCTAATTGAGAATTATATACTTCTCAGTGAACTCACCTTGCTTGATGCATTTACCCTCTACTCCCCGTACAAATTTAGGATTTTTAGATAAAACCTACCTATTGCATTATAGTCAATTATGGAATTAGGAGGGTACATTGCATCAACTATCCTAGGCATGGGTTTAATCATATAAAAAATTGCCCTAGGATTAACTATAAACTGCAATGTTGTAAAATTCCTTCACAATACATTCAATCCCATCCCTAATCCGTCTCATAAATCTTTCCCACCCTCGATTTCTAAACATCTCTCTAATGCCTAACTGCTCAAAATCACCATACATAATGCCTTTTTCACAAACAATTGATTTAGAAGAGAAATGGAGATAATACATTTCCCTTTGCATATGGTCTTGGAAGATTCCACCTTCACATTGGCGGTTGCCTTGAGCTTCTTGCTGTTTTGCCCCTTGGGATTGTTGTTGAGAGTCCCTCCTTTAGCTTGACCTATGAGCAACATGTTTCCTCACCATTGGAAAAATCTGTGGAAAGTTAAAGAAATCAACCGGTGAAAATTGTGCTAAAGACCTTGGGTTTTGAGTTTTATAGCACAAAAATGAGTTTTAATCGTTGGGTTTTGGGTTTCTAAGGCGGGAGGGGTGTTTGGGTAGGCTAGGGTTTGAGTTTGAGGGAAATGAAGCTGAGTTTTGCGAAATTGAAGAGATTGTTGTTTTTAAATCCGGGAAAGGGCGTTCGGACACTATTGTAGGTGTTCAAACACCTCTGCCTCCTGATGCTGCCCTTCACCTTTTGTCTACAATGTTTGATGACCTTCTTCTGGCATTTGAATGTTGTTGTTTTCAATTTTTTTTCTTTTCTCGTTTATAATTACATTTTGACAACTTAAAAATTGTTTATTTGTTTATTATATATATATATATATATCAATATATTATTTATTTATTATTTTTCTTGATACAAAATAAAATAAAAAATACATAAAAAATTAAAAATTCAAATTTTAAAACTAAAAAAAAAATATAATTTTATTATTTTATTGCTATTGACATTTGAATATTCGAAGATTTGAACCTTTGACTTTCATTCCCTTACGCAGGACTTTTAACCATCTTGGCTAGACCTACGGGTCCAAATGGTTTGCCTGAAAATATATTAATATATCTTACCAAAGCTTGTCATGGCAAGAAAAATATTTAATTCGGTTCTTACTCAATCCCTATTATGTTTGAAGAATTAGTAAACCTATGAACTTCTCGCCGCACATACTGTGTTAAAACAATGCTAGATTAGTATGGCGTGTCAGAGTAATCCTTACTCTACCCATACACTATCTAGTCTAAACGATTGAGCGCACAACCAAAAATTGGTTGAGAACACTAACTATATTCTCTCATGTGAAAGAGTTGACCCCATGGATTACATGTGCCAAGTCGTTTGGCTCAGAGACGTTTAGCAAATGTGCTTCTTCTACATAATGGTTTCGCTTGTTATTCTTGGATTTCAATTTTTCTCACCATTCTTGCTCTTTTCATTATTATGGAATGCACATCAGATGGAAATATGTGTAAACACCTAAATTAAACCAAAACAGTTTAACATCCCTGGCTAGAAAACTTAAGACACTCTATCCGGGTTTAACGTCTGATAGTCACAAGGACGATTGAAGTTGCCAAAAAAAATTTAGACTCATGAAAAATTCTAAAATGTATATCCAGAATACAGAGTACTTCCTATCCCCAACCTAAACACAACATTGTCCACAATATTGTGATTTTACCAATAAACGCAGATGAATTTAAGGTTGAAAGGTAGGGAACACCAGCACATCGACCAAAACTCTACAAACAAACTACATGATATTAGTTCACGATATATGCTATATACAAAACATAAAAATTAACAAAATCATTGAAGATATTGTGGATTCATTCGATCAATAGATTCCACATGCTCGACAAACCCTTCATAAAATGGTTTAAGACATTGTCCATTGACTTTGAAAATATTACAATTTGAAGGATTCTCAATTTCCACTGTTCCATATCCAAACACTTGTTTCACAATACAAGGTCCTGTCCACCTTGAACTCAAATTACGAGGCACTATGTTTTTGTCATGAAAAACTTTCATAAGTGATTTTGCAATTTTAGCATTCTCATAAGCCTTATTCCTTAATTCTTCCGACAGATAAGTAACAAGGCTTTCCATAAACTAGCCGATAGAAAGACATGCCCAAAATTATTTTAAAGGTAGTGCAATATGCCCAAAGCGCATCAATCAATTGTAACGACGAACCTTTGCGGTCCAGGTTTATCATTTTTTCCAATATCATTTCAATCTTTTGATTGGCCAATTCAGCCTATCCACTAGTCTATGGGTGACAAAGCACTTTAACTTTGCTAGATGTATTCAATCATTCATCATATAAAGGAAAAGATAAGACAATAAGTATAAATGAAGTGCATAAATATAACTTTTGAATAATACTTTACATGTCCTTCACCTATTACTAAAGAGTGAATGAAAAAATACTCACTTTTCATGACTTTCAGGAAGCTAGAAAAGTGAGTGAATCTCATCCCTCTAAGTAAATGAGCTTTAGAATTACAAAGGTAAAATTATAAGAAACAAAATGCTTGTCTCCAACAAAGAATGAGTGAAACACTACCCACCCTTCAAAGCCACAAGAGAGCTAGAAAGGAGAGAGAGGTTCACTCCTCTACTTGAAGTAGAAAGCTACATAATGAAACTAATGAAAGTAATACTAGAAAAGTAGAAGAAAAGTAGTTAATTTGGAGGGTTATTTTTTCTTCCAAAGTTGGTCTTTTGCTTCAAGATAATGAGGTATTTTATAGGGGAGAAGAATACAAAAAATGCAGATTTGAAGTGTCACATTCTAGTTGAGGCATTCGAACCATGGCTTGGGGTTCAAACACTACAGCTTCCATTTAGTGTTTGAGGATTCTTGCTTGAATCTTACTGACTTTTGAAGAGAGGTTCGAATGCTAGGGGCAGGTGTTTGAACATTGCACACCTATCATGGTTCCTTGTCTGATTCTATTAGGATTTGTGTTTGACTTTTGATGAGGTGTTCGAACCCCTCCTCTAGTGTTCGAATGCCACCTCCTTCAGAAAAGCTTTCCTTTGATCATTTCCTCTTTAGGGCTTTATCTTTCATGGCTTGATAAATTCTATTTTCCATGCATTTTATGTTAATACTCCAATCTTCCCCTTTTACTTAATTCCTTATTCTTTTTTTACAAATGTAATTCAAACTTCACATAATTAACCCTTACAAAGCATATTCAAATGTAAAGATTATGGGCTAATCACATACTAAACAAGAAATGGCCATTGGAGAAATAAAAATCTTGTTTTTTCAGGAGGACATGGCCCCTTAATCTTGAGTTTGGGGAGTAAATAAGGCAGTCACCGATCATTTTAACAACACCTTAGGTGGTCATGAATCAAGACTAATTGAATGAGATTATCTACGAACACGTCAACCCAGCCATGAGGCACGTCATCAGACTAACGTACCAAAAACCATATCCCGATTGGGGTTGACAAGGATTATGAATATCCTCGAGGGTACAAATTTTGATGTTGGCAACTTTCTCAAGAGAAGATAGTCAGTTGAATGTGGAGCATATCGACTGTTTTATTGTACAATACAAAGAAGCAGAGTCCAATGGGTTTTTGAAGCTAAGGTTGTATGCCAATTGCCTGATAGGGACGACCTTCAGATGGTATATTGACTTGCCACCAACTCTATGTTAGGCTGGAAGCAACTAGAGGATAAGTTTCACGCTTAGTTTTACCACACTGTGCCCAAAGTGGTGATAACCGATTTGGCTAGGTTGTACAAGATGATTAGCGGGTTTACAGAGCAATACAACAGGTGTAGGTTGGCCTTGCACAAGATGGAGTATGTGCATATTGTGCAAAATAACCTAGATTTTAAACTTTGGAAGAAGTTTGAAGGGTTAAATTTTAATGACCTCTTTGAGTTGGCAATGTGGCCTAAGTGATACAAGCAAATCCTATGGTAGGAGTTGGACCCAAGAAAAGAGTCCAAGGGTATGGCTATAGAGACCCCAATATGGAGATCCTCATGGTCGAGCCAGACAAAGATTTGGAGGTGAACATGGTGGAGATCATGGCAAAATTACCACATGTGTACTAGGCCTTGACCATGCCCTTAGGAAAATAGCGCTACTTTCTTCAAGTGCTGATAACGGAGCCGATGAGAGTAATAAATAGAAATATGACATTGACATTTTGAAGGCCGACTAGTTCTTTGACCATCTGCTTACAGACGACATTGTCAAACTATTATTTGATCACAAGATTCCATCGGCTGTGGAGCTGAAGAGCAAGTCGTATTACAAATGACACAATTTATGGATCCATTCTACTACCAACTATATGGTGTTCTAGAACACCATTCAGGATGACTTGACCAAAGGTCATTTGATCTTCAGGTATAAAGGGAAGTCAGAGATAATGGTTAACAAAAACCTTTTTCAGAAAACAGTCGTCATTAACATGGTGGAGGTGGGGTAGTCCAAACCCTAAGAAAGAAGGTGGATTTTGATGGTGGCAAACCAACTGACTACAAGAAGCCTAAGAGCAAAAAGGACACCAATCTTCAAAATAATTCTTCCTAAAAGGAGGACATTCATAGCAAAGTTTCCATTTCAGCTAGATATGGTTAAGAATGACCTGTACACCAGGTGCAAGGCTTATTATAGAATCATTCCAAAAAGAGGAGGAACAGACAAAAGGCCGCGAAAGTGATGGCACCACAAGAGCACCCACTAGGAATGACCAGGTGAGTGGCCACTACCTAAGCGAGACTACGAAGATGGGTCAAACAAGTTCATGAGGCCGAGCTATAAAGAACATGGCAGGGGCCCGCCAGAGCCTCCACGAGGATGGTTTAACCCAAAATACGAAGAGTTTACATGAGGTTGACTCCTGAACAGTCCATTAGAGCTGATGGTTATTAGGATCGATAGAGGATGATTAAGCCAACAGAGCCATTTGAAGGCCGTTGGTACATGGCAAAATATCCTAAGTTGTCGTAGTATCACCAACTGTGACCCTTGTCTAAAACTGAAAAGTGCAGGAAGTAACACATTGGGCTGGACTTGCGCAGGTTGGAGGAATACGAAATGCAGTCAGCCCAAGAGGTGAGGGAATATTTCTGTAGAATATATCCCGAGGTGGGGGCAATCAAGTCCTGATACAGATATAATTAAAGAGAAGGGGAAAAGATGGTGGAGCCCAATTCCTCTCCAGAGGAGGACATTAAGGAGAGAATGATATGGAAGGTGGTGGAACGTCTTAAGGCCTCACTCAATATTCCTCCAAAAACTTGCAAGGGGAAGAAGAACGAAGACTCTACTAACAACGATGATAGCTATGGAGGTGATTCCATCTAGTTTGGCACAATCTATCGAGCAACATTATAAGCCAATGAAGAAGCTTTTTTTA